TGCAGTGCGCCCTGTATGGCTTGAGAAGTCCGTTTGTCTGAGCTGGTGGTGACCACGAGACCATGATGGAACTGGAACTTAGTGCCTTAGCAGTGATGTCGGTTGGTGGCGAGGGAGCTAGAATAGGAGTCGAAATATGCCTTGTCAGCAACTGGCCTATCTGATGAGATTTTAACTTTCCAAGTGTAGTGCAAATTGGCCAGGGTTGCGACGTGATGTGCCCTAGGCTCGAGTGCTTGCATGATTAGACAATGACCAAGTATGAAAGTGGATTTGGATTTCAACGATACACGACTGCTTCGATCATTGCTGATTAATGTCAGCACCTACTTTCTGGTATCGAACTAGTTGACAGGTCTCCTTCTCAACACCTTCGGCATATACGCCTCTTTTTTGGGGATATCAAGTTTAATGATTCCGTTCTTCGCCAAACGTGGATGTAAACTTTCTTGATAAACATGAATACATTTACCTCGTTCAGAAGCTCTAGCGTACATTTGGATAAGCTTAAAAAATGGCTTATATTATCCACGAATGTCTTACCCACGGAGCGAAAAATCAAACCATCTCCTCTGGTGTAGCAGTTAACAGGTAGCCAACCACCTACTGAGATTGAATGAACTATAGTCTAGACAGTCTCAACAACGACAGAGCACTACTTTCGGATTCTGCTAGCCAAGTCAACAAAGGAAGAGATCCGACCTGCCCCTGATAGCAATTGTCGGCTTTGCTGACTCAGTTCAGTAATTGTCGAGCGTTTACTGTTTCACATCAAACACTCTCGGCGGGGAATATTTGTAGTAGACTGACAGCCACCTCGCGTGAGAGTGCGTGCATGAGGGCCCGAGTGGACCAATGACTCACCCCTTTTGCTATTGGCCTTTGTAAGAACGCAGATTCATACACATACAGAGCCACTTGCTGGCGTGACATTGATAAACGGTCGTGTTCTCTGTCGCCGCTTTTCCCTCTTTCCTCGGGTAGTTACGGGCTGTTAACTAGAGCGTTGTAAGGTAGTGCTAAATCACAAAGCCACTACACATGTAGGTGCGGGTTTGAAGGAGTGTTTTCATGTTGGAAGGTGTGTATATGCGAGGATTTAGGTTTTGATTTGCGAACAGTCGCAACTTCCGTGCAACACATAGGCGGTGAATGGAATGAATATGCGCTTGAAGCAGGAGACATGGACACACAGAAAATAAGGCATAAGACAACGCGTCAATGGTGAAGAGACGACCTCTGGAGTACTCCACACGTTCTGGAGCTATGCCTTGTGGCATGGGCTTGACGACTTTCAATATGTGACACCACCCTCCCTCCCTTCCTCCTTCAATCACTCACAAACGAGACCTCATGGTCACTCCTCTTAGAAGGTCTGTTGATTCGCATGATTGACAAGGCAGGCCGTGTTGTCAACCTGCAGTGCACAAGTCTACGTGGGCTTTTATCAAGACAAGCATTCAGGTCAACCAGTGCTGTGTGACAGGCGATTGAGTGAAATTGACGGAGAGGGTCACAGGTGCATCCACAGTGCCATTGTGCGAACAAATAAATGCCACATTCCTAAACCTGATTTAACGCTTGTGGGAAATAGCCGACACAACGAAGGCCACCTAAGCGGATGAGGCAACGATAGTGAGATAACTGGTCACTTACCTGACGACCACGTCCACGCTCGCCCTGCTGTGTAGGCCGTTGTGGCACCATTTGTAGTGAATTCCACTACTACATCGTATTCAGTGTAGGGTCTCAGGCCTGTGGTAATGGAGCCTTCAGTGACATTTGGGGCGACAACGGCACTAGCGTTTGCCACGCCCAGATCACTGTCCACTGGCACCGCGATGAGCTCGATTTTCTGTATTGATCCGTGCATAACGTCTTGGAAATCCCATCTTAGGTGGAATCCGGATGCATCAGTCCAGTCAAGGTAAAGGGAGGGCTCAATGACGGGACGTGTCGTGGTTGCTGTTGTTGTTGTGGCTCTACGTGTCGCTAAAAGAAGAGTATTTGTTTGAGGCTGTGTGACATATCTAATTTGCTGGCGATGTTGAAAAATAGCATGCATGGGGAGTAGGATTTGATTCAAGAACTGTGTCATCGAAATTAACAAACTGCTTAGCTTAGCGCAGTTAAGCTAATTCGGTCACATGAAATCGTAGATTCGTCTTTAGATATCTGTGTGAAAACGGTTTCTTCAAATCCACCCCAAATCTCGTCAAATATTATCTTGTGTTCGTACGTCTAGTCGCAATACATGGTGATTGTAAAGGATCGACTGTTACAGAACCTTTGACCAAGAACTTCGGGCAATCTACCTATCTCCCTGTCAAACACGGTTTTAGTCGATCGTCTCAAGCCAGCTTTCCTCGACAAAAAATTGCCTGCGAGCAACAAGCCACAGGAGCAGAATACTAATATTCACTCCGATTATAAACAGATTGCTACTACCGTACGCTTCATCAGACGCGTTCATTGGCCTGATCGGAACACTTGTTTCAAAGCAAGAAAATTTCTTGACAGATGGGATACCGCCAAATCGATCAGACCCCACGATGAACCCTTACATGCCCGATAGGATGCAACAGTTTCCATCGTCATTCGCTCCCATCACCGCAGAGTCTTACGACCTAACTCCTTTTTATCTTAACTCTGTCTTAAGTTGAGGCAGCTAATAAATAACGGAGTCTCAAATCGCTCTCCCCTGTATTTTAGTCCTTACTGAGGTGCTTCATGTGGAATCGTTTCACAAAAAAATTCACCCAGAAGCAAACTATGCATCAAAGGCGTTTTCAGTATCGATCCAGCCCTATTATTTGCTTACCTAACCTGGTCTCAATTGAGCCCAAGTCGTTGCGATAGCGATGCCTGCAGGCACTTTAACAAAGACACATGTTAGCATTAAAAACTCGCGTCACCTACCGGCAGACCACGTAGAGGCACTTCGAAAATAGGAATATTGGCTGTAGCCTCCACCATGCCCCTCCTCGTTCGGCAGCACATAACCACGAACTGTGACTTCGTAGCGCGTGTTGGGCTCCAAGTCAGTGATCCTGTACGATCGCGAGTCTGTGGTTACGTTGGCCACATGCCGCCACTCTGGCTTGTTCGGGGATTCTCGACCGTAGCGTCCTACGGAGACTGTAAAGCCCCCAAGGGTTCCTTCCACATTTTTGGGATCGTACCAAGAAACCAAAAGTGTGTGAGCGTCTACCACCACCACCTCTTTAGTGATTAATCTTTGTAGGGCTGAAATGTATAAAGACATGCTAACTGCCTGTTGTATCTTTGCCAGCTTATTTCGTCTCTAAAGGTTAACGGCAAATTAGGGCAATTCGTGCTCTTGGTAAATCTTGGAAATGATTAGGCACAAAGCCAACCTCAGATTACGAAAATTAAAATCACACAATGTGCAAATTAGAAAGCTGTCTTCCATGTCATGTCAGTCTGTATAACGAACTCATGATTATAATGCCATTTTTCTGAGATCATATTTACGGGACGGTAGACTGTGGAAGCGGACTTTCTTAATGAAGCAGATCACGCTCTCGAAATGATTATGGACGCTTCGTGAGGGCTTGTCTTGTCTACACATTTTAACACATCCTCAATTCATGCTGCAGAAATCAGAGTCGTTTTTCTCTGAGCCTTCAGAAATTGTATGAGCAAAACATGTCTAGGACCACTAGAATCTAACTGCGCTCAACACTTGAACAAACTGCACCCTCGCGTAAATGAAAGTGTGATTTAGAAAACAGCACGTACTTCCAGGCCATGTTGTGACGACAGTCGACTTCGCTGACGCACTGGTGAGAGAATCGCCCCATTGGGTGATCAGCGGGGTTGTGCTTGCTTCGACGAAACACTCGTAGTTCGTGTTCGGTCGCAGTCCCCTCACTTCGACTGACGT